AAAAGAAAACCAACAAACTTGGAAAAAATTTTAGAATTTTTTGTTAAATGTGATATGTTAAACACATGTATTTATCTCTCGTTTTGCAAACTCGACTAAAATGACAATAAGGAATAAAAGGCCCAAACCTATAAGAATAAAGAGAATGAGGGAGGAGACAAAAGGAGACATGAGATATTAATAAAGTTTTGGGAGCTGACAAGCCAACAGATGAGTGATAAGTGACCTAGCAGACTGAGGGCTGTAGAATTTAGTCATCAAGAAATAAGCCCACCTTTCGTAAGTATAGAAAGCCCTTCCAGACCTTGTTGAGGTCTGGGAAGTTTATATTTGTAATCCCGTGGAAAAGCTATTGGAACTCCAGTGAATCAATTTCAGTCTACCACTTCTAGTGCAACCCGTGGTGAGAATAAAGACACTAAGGCATATTTTTAGTTGTGGGGAGCCAAGGGTGTCCTAAATATAGCTAGTATGATGACTAACTGGAACAGAGGCCCTTACCCAGGGCCAAACCTAGGTTTTATTAATTCGTGCAGGGGAGCATGGCTCGGTGATAAGTGACTGTGAGAATGGTGGGAAGTACACATCAGCACCTTGGTTAGATGGGTTTGCTTTGCTTAAAGCCAACTGAGGGAATAAGGTAAAGTGCTAGCCAGTTCTGTACAAATCAGTACATGGAAATGGGGCCAGGTTTGGCCAAAATGGAGATAATTGCTCTTCTTTCAAGGAGGGTCGTCCAGGTGGTCCTCCACACGTAAGCCAGACAACTGTGGAAAGGATCAGGAAGTTGGAGGCCTGGGTACCTCTGAAGGTACCTGTGAGGTAGGCTGAAATCAGGAGGGTTTGTAAGTTCTTAAAAGTATCCATCAGGTCCTTTAGATCTCTCGCCTAGACCTACAATAGCCAAGCAACTGTCCTTTGCCCTCCTACGCAAAGGGCTGCAAGTGTATTCCTTCAACAAATTGAACCAGTTTCATGAGACAGAGCTGAGAGTGGAATGAGAGGCATCATGCTAAAAACAGGAATTAAATGAAAGTGACATTTCACAGGGCAGGACTCCCATCCTGCTTCCCAGGTACAGCATCCAGCGGGCTGACAGCCCCAGGCAGGAGCGATTTTTCTCTAGGAAAATGGACCAACCCAAAGAAAAGACTTTCAAATACTGACACTTGGAATTCTTCCACAAAATACCTGGGCCACTCTAAATAGACAATACCAGTCAGCAAGGTCCTCTTTTGAACCAGAGCTTCTAATAATTACTGTGTTCGAATGGCTACTGTGAAAGGAATGGTTCCTTTGGGCTAAATTCTGCTCTTGTCAGGAAGGGCCTCTTTGGAGTTCACACACCTAAATTGTTCTAGCCTTAATCTGGGTCCCAAGACAGCCCAGACCACGTGAATGGATGAATCAGAATAAGCATTACTGCTGTTGAGAAAAGTGAGTAAAGCAGCTATCTTAATGTACTGGTATCATATTTATACGAAAAGACTACTTGACTGGAAATAGAAGAATGTTGATACTCAGATTACTGATTTGCTTTTTCCTTTTTCTCTGATATGCACAAATGTCCTTATTAGCATCTCTATTCAGGATGGAAGTTTTGACAGTAGAACATGGCTCAGATTTTGCTGTTTTCATTATGGAATGAATTCTATTCTTCCTCTTCCTCCTTCCTCTTTCTTCTTCTTCTCCGTCCTCCCAACCTTGTTCTTTTCCTTTTTCTTTTTCTCTGGTGGTGGTGAGGATCAAGCCCAGGAGAGAAGATAAGCTCTATGAAGGCAGGAACTTTTACTTGTTGTATTCACTGCTGTGTCTGATACACCAAGTCCAGTGTCTGTTGTGTGGGAGGAGCTCATAGGTGTGTGGTGAATGAGTGAAGGACTTGGACAAAACATTTCTGAAAAGTATTTCAGAATACCTCTGTAATTAAGGAAAACTGCAAGAAGCTAGCCCCTGGAGGAGAGAGTAAAGGTTGAAGAGAAAGGTGGTATATTCTAGCTCTGTGATCTTCAAGGAAAATTTTTCTTCATACTACCAGAGGATTCTGAAGAACTATAGATTCCCTCAGATATTTTTAAACTGAGTTCTCAAGTTTTTAAACTATTATTACTGAATTTTAAGTGGTGGTAGAAGACACCATTTTTAGTGTATATTAAACATTGACATTTACAAGTAAAATTAGTGCTTAATCCCCAGAGCCACAAAAAAATATTACAACACTATTTTAAGTACAGGCAAAGCAATCTAAATACTGTAGTAGTTTGGTGTTCAAATTATTTGAGATAGAAAATACAGAGCAAATTATTCCCATTATATAGGAAATTTTACATTGTTTCTTCCTATCTTCAAAATCACATATCAAAATCACGTCTCACCTGCAGAAGTGTATCCTAACATATTTTTTGACTACTGTATCTATCATACTGTATCGTACTTTGCATTGTTGAAAGTAGTGTATATATGTCAAATTATTTTTTTTATTTATTGTGAACACATAGCTCAAAATGCTGAATTTTATGGTAGTCTTTTGATTAAAATAAAAGAAAATGAGCCCCATGTGTCCAAAAGTTTTTTTAAAAAATGACACTGAGGACGAGAGGAAAGAAGAGAGTAAGACTTCATCAGAATAGAGAGCAGGGGCTGGGGATTTAGCTCAGCGGCACAGCGCCTGCCTGGCAAGCGTGAGGTTGTGAGTTCGATTCCTGGTACCGGAAGAAAAAACAAAAAAAAAAAAAAAAAAAAAAACAGATCAGAATAGAGAGCAAGACTAAGCAGAATAAGGAAGGAAGAGTAGAGAGACGCCACTCCATTTACTGAAATGACTCACAGTGTAAGCATAGGAACGTTCCTAGATATGAAAACCTTTTGGAAACTTAAAATGTGTTAGATAAATTTGAGGAACTCTATATGAAAATAGAATAAAAGATATGAGAAATGAACAATAAAAAGAAAAATTAGAGGACCTGTCCATGAAAGCCAATGTGTGGCTAATTCCAGAAGCACCAATAGGGAAAACACAGGGGAGGGAGCCCAAGGAGCAGTTTCTCCGTACCGAAAGACCCGACTTCCCAGACTGCCAGGCCATCCGGTGCTTACTGGAGGCGGCTCACGCCGGCTCGTGAGAGCCAACTGTTAAACTCTTAGGTATTTTTGCAAGCTGATCACTATATACACATCATAATTAAAGTTCCTCATTTCCTAAGAAAATATAGGAGGAGAACCCAAAATCTCTTTTACCCAAACACAGCTATTAATATCTTAACATATTTCTGGCAGTCTTTTTTTTTTTTTTTTTAAGTTTTTATTTTCTTTGTGTTTTTAATCTTACCTTATAGGCAGAATTATACAGCCCACTTCTTTTGCTTGCTGTTATGATTAACATTTTTCCTGCTACTATATAGTCTTTGGAAATTGTAGTTTCCCATTAGGTTTTCATTGTCTTAGACAAGAGAGGACTGGATGTGTGCAGAGATTCGTCCGCCTGTCTGAGTGCTTTCTTCTGATAGAGTAGTGGGTGGGGCAGATATGCGACTCTGTGTCTGTCACTGTTCTTCCAGATCCTGGTGTTTCTGCAGTTCTCTGTAGGTAGCTGTTTCCTAAACATTGAATGAGTAGTTTGTCCCAGGGTTTGGGGGAAGTGGGCTCTTAACCGATCCCAGGAAAAGTCGGAGAGGTGGCTTCTGCTCCGGATTCCTATGTTCCTTCAGTGCTTCCTAATTCAGTCTGTTATTTGAGGAATGTAAGCTCTTGACTTTCTTCTCCTAGTTGAGCTGTTATAAAAAACAAAGAGTACAAATAGTTGTTGTAGAACAGCTACATTTGTCTTAAACTTGTTTGTGGAGTCTGTGGGAACTTCTCTATGGTAATTTAATGTTCACATTTCTGTTTCCTGCATTTTAAGAGTGTCTGTAGCTACCTAAACTCCGATGTATAAAAGAGTTCTGTCTTCATTCAATTCCTGGGTTAATCTTTATTTACAGAACCAGCGGTGTTTATATGTGGGTTTTTCAATTTAAAGTCCCAGGCAGCTGCGGAGAAAGCCTTCCTCATGGGTGCTTTGTTTTAGGTTCAAAGACACGATTATAAATGCCAAGTATGGCGGGCACACAGAGGCGGTACGCCGGCTGCTGGGTCAGCTCCCCATCAGTGCCCAGTCTTACAGTGGCAGCCCCTACCTGGACTTGTCCCTCTTCAGCTACGATGACAAGTGGGTGTCAGTCATGGAGCGACCCAAGACCTGTGGAGACCACCCTATCAGGTACTGTGTCACCGCCTCAGCCGCAGACTGTACAAGGGCTCAGGGTAGCCTGCTTTCTTGCCCTGTCTTCCCAGACAGGTTCTGCACTGAAAGGGCAGGTTGTCTCCATGATGTGGTGAGTGCTTTGGTCACTGAGATACTAGTCTCAGAAATTAATTACTCCTATTCTTTGCTTCCCACTAGAACATCTAATTCAGACAGGTGTTTTGTCCTTTTAAAAGGTAGCGAGGGAAAGAAGTAGTACTTTCCCCTTAATAATCTAATACCATTGTATAATAGTTTTGTCGTTAAGATTTCATTATGATATCTGACTCAACTATTTCATCTCTCATGTTACTTAGTAGAAAAAATATTTGAGATAGCTTGCAAAGTAGGCAGAATTAGGCAAGAGCCGTGCTTCCTTTCTTGGAGGGATGGTGGAGTGTGGACTGCTGAGTTGCTTGCTGGGACCTGGAGGCCAACCTCTTAGTCCTCTTAGTCTGGTTGTTTGCAGACCCTCCTGTCTCCACACCTGGAGCCCATGCTGTGCTAGCTGTGCAGAGGAGGAGCTGGCACCATTGCTGCTAATGGGGTTGCCTGGTGAGGAGAGGCTTGTGTTCCTGGAACCCTATGCACACAGAAGCTGATGATTAGATCCTTAGAGTAGATGTCGTTCATCACTCAACTTCATTTTGCATTAAATAGGTCTGTGTACCCCTGTCAGCCCAGCACTCAGGAGGCTGAGGCAAGAGGATCACATGGGTTCGAGGCCAGCCTGGGCTCCGTAGTGAGACCCTGTCTCAAAAAATAAATAAATAATAAGTATATAAATAAATAGGTCTGTGTAACATACTGTATACAGTTAGTCATCGTTCCTTTGGGAGTTTGCAGTCACATTCCAAACACCAATTGGAAGAAATTCTCACCATAGAAAGTTTTAAACTTCAGGAAAATAGAAGAGTGTGACCGCCGTCTGTGTCACTGCTTATCAGCTGTTGCCCAGTCTTGTTCCCTCTCTGCACCACACCACTTCCTTCCGCACTGCTGCCCTGGATTATTTTGTAGCAAATCCCAGTTATCCAAGCATTTTACCTGTAAATTTTTCAGTATGAACTCCTAAAAGACAAGAGCTTTAAAATGCAACAACAAACAGGATGTAGTGGCACATACCTGTACTCCCAACATGCTGAGAGGCTCAGGCAGGAGTATTCCCAGTTCAGCTCTAACCAGGATGACTTAGCAAGACCCTACCTCAAGAAAAAAAGAAGAAAATGAAGAAAGCCTAGGAATTTAGGTCAGTGTGAAGGCCCTGGGTTCAATCCCTAGTACCTAAAGAAAAGCAACAACAAAATTCCTTAACAGGCCAGGCATGGAGGGGCATGCCTGTAATCCCAGCACTTGGGAGACTGAAGCAGGAGAATTGCTGTGAGTTCCAGGCCAACCTGGGCTACATAGTGAGCGCAAGGTCACCTTGAACCACCCAGATCCTGTCTCAAAAAAAAAAAAAAAATTCTTCAACATATCATGCTACTTTGAGAAAATTAATCAAAACTTACTAATACCACCAAATAGCCAGTTTTCACCTCTGCCTGTTGTCCTGTAAATATTCTTATATAGGATCTAAGCAGAGTTCCTGAATTGGTGTTTGATCATAGTTCCTTGCAATCTTATTTGTTCTCTGGATTCTGCTTCCCTTTTATTTTCCAGCAGTGAGATTATTGTTCCTCCGGTGGTATCCCCACGATCTGGACTCTGTCCTTTGAGTCCCGTATTTCTCATCTCCCAGGCGCCGTACACAGGCTTAGAAGTGCAGACAGCTCCTGTGAAATGCTCAGCTCTTGTGTGTCCACGACTGTGTAGGGAGGGTAAATGTGCTTTTTATACATAAAAGCACATAATGGGCCTCATCTGAGATACTCAGTAGCTGGAAATACATTTCTATCCTTTCTGACTTCCCTGCCTGCTTATTCGAAAAGATGAGCCTGAGTAACACATCTGGTAATACCATTGCCTATGACTAAAGGGGGCTTTCCTGTAATTCTTTCTTATTTTAATTGAAATGCAAAGTGTAGGTATATTAATGTAGGCATTTGAGGAGGTAATTCCATTACTCTAGCCCTTTTATTATTAGTCTTTGTCAATACACCTGTTTATATAGTTGTAATTATCTTAGTGTCATAGTTGCTGCCCTGCTTTTACTATATAAATGTTTTTCCATTTTGTTATGTCATTTTCACAATTATAGACCTAGTGATGGCATATTATCCCATTAAGTAGATGTGCCATAAGTTATCTAACCATTCCTCTATTACCGACCATTTCTTTTTTATGGATTTTTTTACATTAGAGTGAATGTTATAGTAGCCATCTTTTTTTTCTTCCTTTGAAAAGGAAAAGGGTCTCACTCTGTTGACTTAAGCTAATCTCAAACCTGTAGGTTCAAGTGATCCTTCTGCCTCAGCCTTCCAAGTACCAGGGACTGCAGGTGTGTGACACTGCACTCAGATTTTCATAGTCACTTTTAATCATGTCACTATTTCATTTAGATTCTGAGGATATGAATTTGAGGAATAAGATTATTTCATTGTCTGCTTGTATATTTGTTTTCCAAAGTGGAAATTATAGAGCTGAGTAATTCAGGACTGTCCATGTCCTAGAACTTGCTCCCAGTTCAGCCCCAGCCTGCTAGTCATCTCTAGTTCCTCCAAACACAGGTCGTTTACTTTGCATATGAGAGAAGGTGTGTGAGTAGCGGGATATGTGATAGTATCTTTAGTCTCACTTCAGTAGATGAAAAATTAAAAATGACTTAGTGTTTTGTTTCTGTGAATGTAAAAGAACCTCCAAAAGAATTTGTTCTTGAGTATGAAGACATAAAAATGGGCCTGGAGCCACACTGTCCTATATGGTGGCCACTTGCCACACGTGGCTGTTGGGCACTTAAAATGAGAGGAGTCAGAGTTGAGATGTGGTCAAATGTCACGTCAGATTTCAGACATTTAGTAAAAAAAAGGTAGGTGAAATAGCTCATTAATAATTTTATACTGATTTTAGGTTGAAATAATGTATTGGAGATACTGGATTAAATAAAATTTATTATCAAAATTAATTTCATCACTTTTTTAAACTTTTTAAAATGTAGCTATCAGGAAATTTAAAATTGTACATATGCCTTCAATGTGTGGGTTGTACCTCATGTCTAGCTTTGGCTCATACACTCATTAGACAGGAACTCATGAAAGTGAGGAGGCTGTAACTTAGGGTATAACTAAGGGTCATCTTGGGAGAGAGAAATGACCAGTGACATAGGACCACGTACTAAAATTCATAATCACTGTCTCAAAGTGAACTGGTGGCACTGGGGTGATTAGAGTTCTGCTAACTGGGGGCTGATGTACGGTAAGATTCTTAGTTAAAATAATGAATTGCCACTTCTTTGCTGTTCAGATTTCAAGGTGGTGATGAGTATCAACCCCATGCTCTCTTTCTGTCTCCTTTTCCTGTTTAGGTTCTATGCCCGCGACTCTGGGCTGCTCAAGTTTGAGATCCAGGCTGGCTTACTGGGCCGCCCCATCAACCACACAGTGCGTCGCCTCGTTGCCTTCACCTTTCATCCTTTTGAGCCTTTTGCCATTTCCGTACAGAGGACTAACGCGGAGTATGTTGTCAACTTCCACATGCGACACTGCTGCACGTAGGTGCCTCATCACAGCCAGGCTGTCTGACCTTGCACGACTTTGCCGGCTTCTTTTCTCAGTGGACTCTGGGGCAGATGTACCTCCTGCCCCCTCTGTGGGTTCCAGGCTGGCCTACCAGAGAGAGGAGCGAGTGGCTTGACCTAATGAGACTTCTGTTGTAAACAGTACTACTGCCGGTCAATATAAGGTCCTCTTGTCTTTTCCCTGTGGGAATGCTCAGCATTAATTAAATCCACTTAATTTGTGTTTAGCATTGTATTGCTGTGGAGATAAAAGCATTACACCTTTGCCTCCTTCATCTCACTTCCTTGGCATTATGGTTTGCGGCCAGAAGCAGGTAAATCTCATTTACACACGAGAGCTGTGTATGTCCTCACCTTTTACCTAGTAAGCAGGGCTGTCTTTATAAGAAATAATTAAAGCCTTGGTATTTTCTTACTTAAATATATCCCATTTGATAAGTGTCTTGTGTTCCTGTTGCACCGATGCTTTTCGAGTACTTGGGTTCCAAGCAGGATTGGAAGAGACGGCAGCTGCTCCTGAGGGCGCTGAGTAGTGAGTGCCAGCGTGGATGACAGCTATCTGCCAGCATTGTTGCCGTCCCGAGGGTTTTTGCCTGGTAATTGTCACAGCTGGGGGAGCACGGTGTAATTGCACAGTCTCATGTGGAAGCATGCTCGAGTCTGCACCATCTGTGTCGGGCAGGTGGGAGACCGAGCAGCCCTCTCCGGCCATAGCAGAGCCAAGCACTGTGTAGCACGTACTGTCCTTTGGGTAGGGGGAGCTGGCAAGCTCCAGGTGTCCCTAAAGAGATCACGCTGGTTGTCCGGGGATGGCTGGGCTGTCACAGCTGTCCTACAGATACCTGCTGGCTTTTAGCCCTCAGCCCTTTGTTACATTCTCAACCAGTCTCTTCCAGGGGGCTTGTCAGACTGTTTACATTTCATCAGCATACTGAGTCCTCCAGTAATGTAGTCAACTTGTTTAGCAACATCTGCCTTTGCAGGCAGCTTTGAGATGTTGGGTTCCAGAGTAGGCTGTGAAAGGAGCTATGGATGCAAACAGCTGGATGCCTTATTTCCTCCACTGTCCTGACTTCCTTTGGGAGCAGAAGACGTGATATAAGATGCTGAGCCCCACAAAAATAGTTTGGCTGATTTGATCCTCTTCAGTACTGAACAGCTGAATCCATTCTCTCAGCCTGCAAGACAAGATACGAGCACCTGCTCTGAGTTAGGCAGACACTGTGTTAGGATGCTAAAGGATCATCAAATACAACTTGGTAAAAGCTCTAATAGTGGCTCTCCGAGTACCCTGGAGGGAGATGGAGGTGAGGCAAAGAAGGAGAGGTATCCCAGGAAAGGGGCACTGGAACTGGGTAAATGGGAGTGTGTTGTGTCACCCAGGTTGAGGCTATTTAAAGGAGAGCACTCAAAGGCACAGAATCATGAACAGGACCGCTGAGGTTGATCATGGTGGGTGATCTAATAAGGCCGCAGCATAAGCTAGGGTTGGGGGACAGGGAGATGTGCCTGACAGGCGGGCTGAGGGGAGATCATGAAGAGAGGTGGTGTGCACAGCGCTAGGGCTTTATGTGGAGGAAGGGGTAATGGGAGGTTCACACAGGTAACTCAGCAGTATGGAGAATGGTTCCCAGGGAAGAGATCAGAGCGAGGGAGTGCAAGTGAGTCACGTGAACAGCTTTTCCCTGTATAAAGCACTTCGCTTCAGTAAGTAATTGAAGACTTGGCAGTGGTGAGGTTAGTCAGGCCTCAGTGAATTCTGGCCCTTCTGGCCCTTCTGCCCGTGAGCTGTATGTTGGCCAGCTGAGTTCCTTAGCTTCTCTGAGACTTAATTTGTGCTTCCTTCCACCTTAGTCACACATTCCTCTGGTTATATCTTCCATCTCCCATCATCTCTACTGCCCAGCTCCGACCCAGCAACCTCTCACTTGCTCAGTGTATCCCACTGCAGCTCTTGCTCTTGCTAGGATGGGAGCTTCTGCTTTAGTTGTCACCCACCCTCAGGGCCTCTCCGCTTTCCTTAGCCTAGGGTGCATGGCTTACCCTGTGACCCTCCCTTGCAGTTATCCTTTGCATCCTTGCTGCTCTGCCTCCTTCATACTCATTTAGAAAAACCTCAACTCTGCATGTCTGGGAACACCTGAAAATTGCTGCAGACAAACCAGGTCTGTTCTTAAATCCGTGACTGCAGACCTAAAACGGGCACTCAGCGCTGCTGAGCACTCTTTACACACGCTTCTGGCCAATTTACTTTCCCATTTCCTGAGACTGCTATTTTCCACCCTCACCTTCCTCTCTTTCAAATTCCCATTTTTCAGCTGGTCACCTTGCCATCTCCTTTTTGACAGAAATAGAAATAATCAGAGAATTCCTTTCCCTTGCCTTTACTGTGTGCGCCTGTTGGTCTTAACTGTCATCTTGATCGGATTAAGAGACCCCTGGAGAGGTATTTAGGTTATGAGGCGCTAGCCCATAATCCAGATGAGGAGTTATCTCACTGATGAATTCACATTGGAATGGGCCAGTAGGAGGCAGAGCCTCATGGGAGGAAGTGGGTCGGGGGCTTGTCCTTGGGGACTGTATCTGGTCCTTGGCCCCTTTCTTTTTGACTCCCTGCCTCCCAGTTGCCATGAGTTTATCAGCTTTCCTTCACTATACGCTTCCGCTGTGTTTCTGCCTGGGAGCCCCTGACTGTGGGCTGAAGCTATGGGCTGAAGGTAAGCCTCTTCTTTAATTTGTGGTATTTTGTCCCTGCAATGTAAAGCTGACTGTGTGACTTGCATTTGCACTTGTTTCCTGCCTTTCCTCCTGTTCCAGGGAATAAAATATGCCTACTTCTCTGAAACACTGCAACTTCTACCTGGCCTCTGAATCCTGTCTCCTTTTGACATTTTGAAAAACTAAACTTTGTTCCTATGATTATTTTCCTTTCCTGCATAGCATCTCTTGTGATAGGTCCTCCCCGTTAGCATACTGATATGAGTGATGGCGAACCTTTCTGAGCTTTCAGTGATAGAAACAGCTCTCTGTGGCATGCATGCTGCATGTTTGCCACCACTGCTCTAGGACAGTAGGTCTTTACAGTTGCCTGCTGTGGGCTCTCCCTTGCCTTCAGTGACTGTCCATTTCTCTGCTATCTTTCACAGCAAAACTTCTTTTTTTTTTTTCTGGTCTTTTTGAGACAGGGTTTCACTATGCAGTTCAGGCTGGCCTTGAGCTCACTTTGTAGCCCAGGCAGATCTCAAACTTGCAACGATCCTCCTGCCTCAGCTTCCCGAGTGCTGGGATTACAGATGCGCACCACCACGCCCGGCCACAGCAAAACTTCTCAAATGAGTTGTCTAGGTGTTTTCACCTTCCTGTGTCCCATTTTTTCCAAATCCACATCAGAGAAGTTTCTGTCCTCAACATTCCACTGAAACTGTAGACTATACAATGGTCCCCTCTTGTCCCTCTCTTAATTCAACTTCCCAGCATTAGAGAGTTGATATCTTTCTGTATTCAGAAACATTTGGTTCTCCTGGTTTCTAGGATATCACTTGTTTCTGGGTTCTCTCTTCCTCCTTGTTACTTCTTGGTTCCCCCTGCTGGCTCCTTGATGTCTGCTTACCTTTAGCTGTTGAGATGCCCCAGCCCTCAGCCTTAGATTCTCATTTCTTTTTCTCTATATTCTTTCTTTAGTTGATTTCATTCATTCCCATAGTTTCAAATTCTGCCTATGTACTGATGACTCTCAAAGCTGTAACTCCAGCCTTGACCCCTTCCTTGAACTTCGGGCTCATGTGCTCTATAACTTATGTGGAAGCTTCATTTGGATATAACAGGTATTTAAAAAACAGCATAGCAGGGCCAGGGATTTAGCTCAGTGGCACAGCACCTGCCTGGCAAGCATGAAGTTGTGAGTTCAATTCCTGGTACCAAAAAATAATAATAAAAAAAACTAGCATAACCACACTGACCCTCACCATCTTTCCCTCAAGGTGTCCCATTTGGTGTCAATATCTATACCAATTTACCTGAGCCAAGAATGTGGGCGTTCCTTTCAGTTTTTCTTTTTATTCATCCCTTTCTACCCTTACCCCATATCTGACTACACTCTTGGGCTGTGCTGTGAGCAGTCTAAACCGATCATTACGGTCCCATAGTTCTTGCTAGTGACGAAAACAGAATCCTAGGCCAAAACCAGTCAGTGTGAAAGCTTATCATGTGTCTTGGTTCAGGTCACTGATACAAGGAGGTAAAGATATCAGGTCTGTGGTACAATGAGAATATTTTTCTTTTGAGAGTATCAATGAGGAAACATGTAGCCTGCATTTCTATTATCCAAGGCCCCATGACCATACTCAAAAATATAACCAGCCTTAGGATAAAGCTGACCTGGATGCGGAATGAAGAATAGGGAGTTGGAGCGTGGAACCCTGACAGCCACTCTGCATCCAGATGTCCAGTTCCATGAAACAGTCAATGTCCTTATTTTTTAAGCCTCTTTGAGTTGAGTTGTCTCTTTCTTAGAGTTGAAAGCAAATTAATAGATGCAAAGAGAGGAAAGGTTCCTGTGGAAGATTCATGTGGAAGATTTCTGGCTGGGTGCCTTCTAGGTTCAGGTTTAGTTTTCCTGAAACCCAATGATGCTAGGACTCTTACTAGATTTCTGTACCATTCCTGACTATCCCACAGCCTCTTGCAGCCATGCTTGAGCTGCCCGGAGTAATCTTTATTTGGTGGGGGAGAGGGGCATTAAGATAGGGTCTTACTATGTAGTTCAGGCTGGCCTTGAACTCACTGTGTAGTCCGGGCTGGCCTCGAACTTGTGGATATCCTTCTGCCTCAGCTTCCCATGTACTGAGATTACAGGCATGTGCCACCACACCCGGCTTGACCCGAGTATTTTTTGCAATTGTGAGGATTTTACTAAAATGGGAGATAAAGCATCAGCCCAGTGCATCCTTGACCTATGTTAAGTTCTCAACCCCTATGTGTGTTTATGTATATTGTATTCCTAAAGGATTTGAGGTATCTCTCAGTAAATTCTGGTATCTTCTCTCCACAAGTGCCTAATGAATTTCAAGAACCTTTGGAGAAGCAAGTTCTTTGGAACTAAAATGTTTAAGAAAAACAGGAGCAGACTTCAGGGACTGTCTTTTGGTTCTAAATTCCCTGCACCGTCTCATCTCTCCTGCACAGAGAGCTTCCATGTCAGTGTCGAGGATGGCTGCTTTGGACCTTTGAGAGAAGGACTCCATTTAAATATAACAAATCTCTTTCATTCAGAGCCCTCACACAGCACAGTACAAATGAGTGAAAAGCCTAAATTAGATAATTTTTAAAAGAACGGTAGCTTCATTATTTTCGAGTACACACAGTAACTTAAATTCGGCAATGAAGTGTTCCATTGTAGAAGCCCTTAGGGACATTCTTTAATGAG